GCTGTTGCCAAACTACAAGTCCCAGGAGGCATTGCAAGATTGACAGTTACAAGCATGACTCCCAAAGGCAGAGGCATGATGGGATTTGTAGTTTTGCAACAGCTGGAGGGCCGCCAGTTTGACAACCCTGTCTTAAAGTGTTACTAAACCCACAACAGTAAAATCAGTCTGTATATGTAGTAAAGCATGCTTGTTATACTCACTGTGGAACCTAAGGGGTTAATCCTCTGCATTGTGTAAAAAGGCCATTTGATCCTGACTTCTCTGCCCCTCCTCTTGTTCAAATGTCCAAGTCTTATCTCCTGATAAGACAGACTGAACCCATAGCCACATGCACATGCTCAGTTTGGTGTGAATTGCTAGAGGTTTTTTTTTTTCTTGGGAAAGTGCATGTGATCAGCACAGGGCCAATCAGTACTGTCCAGACAGAGGTCAGGGGTTCTGCATCCTCCTAGAGCAGAAAGAAAACTCCTCCTACACGCTCTGCTGGACACTAATAGAAGCCACAAGACTGATCTAAAGAGGAGAAAAGGTATTTAGCAGTTTATATTTACTAAAATAATTGCATTTCCATGTTGTGTGTACTGTGGGAAACCAGATATAGTAGATGCAGTGTCCTGGGTTTAGTAACACTTTAAACATATAGGGAGGTGTCCTGTAGTCCTGTCCTAGGGTGGCAATGCTCCCTTACTGTACTCTATTTCTAGAGGAGCAGTGTTGTCAAAATAGGACTATAGAACGCTTCTGCCTCTTCTCCATAACATGGTGGAGGTGTTCTGTAGTCCCCACTGATAGCTGACAACAATATTAACTGATAATAGTCAGCAGAGGAAGAGAGCACAGGAAGTGAAAGGATTTCTGGCAGGATCAACAGGCATTCGTACACTTATTGAGATATAACAGAACATTTTCTGTGGTATATTTAACAGACCAAAGGGAGCAAACAGGAGAAGTTAGTTGTTCTAGTTTACATACTACAAAAAAGTGACAGTGCCGGGTGACATCAATTTATACTTGCAGCTACAAGATATGCACCTTATATACAATGATTTGGGGCGGCACAGTGGCTTAGTGTTTAGCCCAGTAATTGGGTCAAGGGTTCAATTCCCAACCATGGCGCCTCCTGCATGTTCTCCTTGTGTTTGCCTGGGTTTCCTCCGTGTACTCTGGTTTCCTCCTACACTCCAAAGACATGCTGGTAGGTTAATTGGCTCCTGTCTAAATTGTCCTAGTTTCATCCCTGGCCATGTGGGATCTCCTGCATGGTTGGGGTTGGGGAAAGACCTGGCAACCTACCCTGTAAAATAATTGCTAAGAGAATTCATGGAAAAAGTCGCTTAGGAGTGACGGTCCATGCAATCACCAAGAGTCGGATATGACTGAATGGATAGATAGATACAATGATTTCATTGTCTTAGTGCTGTGTTCACATTTACAGACCATGCAAACTTGTCATGCAACTTTAGACATCAAAGTCGCATGGCAGGCCATACCCCATGTTTTCCAATGATAACCATTCATATACATGTGACTTAAAGTCGCAGCGACTTCAAAGTAGTTCCTGCACTTCTTTGGTCCGAATTTCATGCCACTTGAGGGCCATAGACTTCAATGTTAACCCTCTAAAGTTCCTGAATGCTTTACGTGCAACAGTAGGTCCAACTTTGCAGAGGGACAACAAGTCACATCCAAGTTGCACCCACCCAAAGTTGCAACTTTGGAGTCATACAAGTGTGAATGGAGCCTTAATGTTTTGTAAAAGTGTGAAAAATCACATCATCCATGTTTGCGTCACACGTTTGGGGGGGAGGGAGACATATAGAGCAACCCAGTCATTTCAATAGGTTGTTCCACATGCAGCAAATGCGGCACTGCATGTACTTTATGAGCGTTGAGCTTTGCACCCTTTGCACTTGTTTTGCTGCATTGAGTGCAAATCCAATGTCTTTGCTTTTTGTTTTGCTTTTTGTTTTATTTTGCATTTAGGGTGCTAATAAAGTGGAACTTTAGGCTTGAAAATGATTGGGCTGTTTACCGTCCTTCCTCGCTGTTATTGGACATTTTATTATTTGGTTAATACAAGTCAGCAGGTTGTACCTGTTCCTGAGTTATTGTTCTGCTCGGCCCCTTGTTCATAAAACAAAACTTAGTTCATAAAAATATTGAAACAGAAAATGAAACAGTGATCTGCGCAGACCGAAGCTGAGGGACCTCCCATGTGACATCACCTTAGTCCAGTCAATGACAGCAGCCAGCGATCAGGACCCACAAACTGGCTGCCTGAAGATGTCGGCTGAGTGGAGTTCCTCATGCAAAATCGCACTTTAACAAAATACTATAGTGTGAATGCAGCCTAAATTAGAACTTTAGGGTGGAGCGCAGTGTACCTGCAGTTTTCAGGTGGGTCACCCACAGCTTCCCATAGCCTTCTATTTGTGCGTTGTTTTTTTTTTGGTGCGTTTTTTGAAAGCACACCGAAGATGCAGCATACGGGGCTTTCAGAAAACGCACCAAAAACATGTGATCTAATGGAAGTCTATGGGAAAGCACAGGTAACCTGCATGAAAAGCGCAGGTACACTCTGCTAAACCCACGCTGTGGCCAAATCGCAGTGCAGCAGTGGAAGAGAATCCTTAAAGCAGAGCACCACCCAAAAGGGGAAGTTCCGCTGGGGAAGTTCCGCTTTAAAGACTTGTCCCCCGCTCCCCATTAAGGATTGGCACCTTTGGGGGGCGGAGGCGGTACCTGAATTTGACAGGTACCCGCTCCCACTTCCGCTCCAATCGCCTAGGTGATCAGAAGCTGAAGGTGTCCCCCCCTCCCTCCCCGTAGTCTTTTGGGACACGTGACAGGTCCCAGAAGACTACAGGACCATTCATAAAGTGCAGCGCTACTCGCACATGTGCAGTGGGTACCAGGCTGTGAAGCCGAAAGCTATCTCAGCCGGGTGCCCACACTGAAGATGCCGGTGCTCAGGGAGAGATGACAGCCAGTAAAATGGGCTGCAGGGGTCTCACTGCGGGAACGAGGGACAGGTGAGTGTGTTTTTTAAAAGTCAGCAGCTACACTTTTTGTAGCTGCTGACTTATTTTTTGACAGGGTGAGTGGAACTCCGCTTTTAAACTGAAACTTTGTGAAAAGAACGCTTTTTAATAGAGAAGAGTCATACTTGGTCTTTTCTGTATTAACGTTTTTTTACCGGCCTGCCTGCGCAGCTCAGTGTATAATTCAGCAACTGCTGACATGAATGAACTTCTGTCTCCTGCACATGTGCACGAGCAACGTCTTTCCAGCCAGTCAGCGGCCGGTGAGGGATCACATCCAGGGCTGCTGTTAGAAATCGGAAGGCCCCACACAGCTAACCTGACACCCCCCCCCCCCTCCCCAAAGAAAAGAACACGGTTTACTATACTTCAGTTATGAATGGACATAGCGAGTGATCAGTCCCAATCACTCACTGTTTTCATTCGGCAAAGGAATGGGCTGGGGTAAATGTGGAATATTTATCGGAACCTCCCCCACTCTACATTCTGAAGGATCCTATGTGTGCTTACAGCTGCTGGTGGGAACAACAGAGGGTAAATCGGTAGCTCAGTTGGGGTCAGGGCACACAGGGGGCCTGGGCAGCAGGGGAAATGTTAATGCATAGGGAGGGTGATGGGTGCAAAGGGGGTCAATTACTGGAACCGATTCCCTGTATGGCTCTGAAAGCCCCCGTCATGCCAGTCCCCCTCCCTGCCCACAGCCAATTGACCCAGCTGCCTGGGCCCCCTGCTGGCCTGGGCCCCGTACAGGAGGACTGGTGGTACCCCTTTATCCACAGCCCTGATCACATCACTGGAGTGGAGGGGAATATAGTTCTACTGTGTGTGAAAAGATAAGAAAGTTGATATCTAAGGGCAGCCACACACACTACAATCTGGTTGTACAATCTCATTTACAGTTACCAAAATGCTGTAATATGAAGACAAACCTGAACAATGCAAACAATTTATATCCAATCGCACAGACCCTGACATCACATGGTGGTTGGCAGATCCAATGATGGCCATACATGCTTCAATAAATCATTGATTTATTTTCCAATCAATCTCTTCTGATCGGAATAACCGATCAACAACAACCCATTCCATCGCTATGCCACACACAGGGAAGTGGATTTCAATTGATAGTTAAAGTATTACTGAACCCAGGACCCTGCATTCACTGTATCCGGTCTCCCCGGACCCCGCATTCACTGTATCCGGTCTCCCCGGACCCCGCATTCACTGTATCCGGTCTCCCCGGACCCCGCATTCACTGTATCCGGTCTCCCGGTCTCCCCGGACCCCGCATTCACTGTATCCGGTCTCACCCCCGGACCCCGCATTCACTATATCCGGTCTCCCCGGACCCCGCATTCACTATATCCGGTCTCCCCGGACCCCGCATTCACTATATCCGGTCTCCCCGGACCCCGCATTCACTATATCCGGTCTCCCCGGACCCCGCATTCACTATATCCGGTCTCCCCGGACCCCGCATTCACTATATCCGGTCTCCCCGGACCCCGCATTCACTATATCCGGTCTCCCCGGACCCCGCATTCACTATATCCGGTCTCCCCGGACCCCGCATTCACTATATCCGGTCTCCCCGGACCCCGCATTCACTATATCCGGTCTCCCCGGACCCCGCATTCACTATATCCGGTCTCCCCGGACCCCGCATTCACTATATCCGGTCTCCCCGGGACCCCGCATTCACTATATCCGGTCTCCCCGAACCCCGCATTCACTATATCCGGACCCCGCATTCACTATATCTGGTCTCCCAGGACCCCGCATTCACTATATCCGGTCTCCCCGGACCCTGCATTCACTATATCCGGTCTCCCCGGACCCTGCATTCACTATATCCGGTCTCCCAGGACCCTGCATTCACTATATCCGGTCTCCCCGGACCCTGCATTCACTATATCTGGTCTCCCATAGTACACAGAACATGGAAATGCTATTATTTTAGTAAATATAAACTGCTAAATACCTTTTCTTATCAGCAGTTAGAACAGTCTTGTGACTTCTATCAGTGTTCAGCAGAGCACTAGTTAGAGCTTGGAGGAGGAGTTTTCTTTCTGATCTAGGAGGATGCAGAACCCCTGACCTCTGTCTGGACAGTGCCGATTGGCCTTGTGCTGATCACATGCACTCTCCCAAGAAAAAAAAAAAACACCTATCTAGCAATACACACCAAACTGAGCATGTGCAGAATGGCTAGGGGTTCAGTCAGTCTTATCAGGAGATAGGACATGGACATTTAAACAAGAGGAGGGGCAGAGAAGTCAGGATCAAACAGCATTTTTACACAATGTAGAGGATTGACCCCTTGCACAGGGAGTATAACAAGTATGATTTACTGCATATACAGACTGATTATACTGTAGTGCAGGGGTGGGCAAACTGTGGCTCTCCAGCTGTTGCAAGACTACAAGTTCCATCATGCCTCTGCAAGTCATAGCTGTAACTGTCAGTTTTGTAATGTTGCAATGCCTCATGGGAAATGTAGTTCTACAACAGCTGGAGAGCCGCAATTTGCCCACCCCTGCTGTAGTGGGTTTAGTAACACTAACTAGTCACACTTTTGGTCATTAATTGTCATTGGCAGCCCACATGCTTCATCAGCAGTCTTGTGACTTCTATCAGTGTCCAGCTGAGCACTGGTTAAAGCTTGTAGGAGGAGTTTTCATTCTCCCCCGATTGTCCTATGAGGCTGCACAACCCCTGACTTCTGTCTGAGAGTGCTGATTGGCCCTGTGCTGATCACATGCACTCTCCCAAGAAAACAAAAACAAAACTATGGAGTCATACACACCAAACTGAGCACGTGCAGATGCCCCCAAGGCTCTGTTCTATCAGCAGATGGATTGGGGACAGTAGAAGGGGAGGATCAGAGCAGACAGGATCAAACATCATTTTTACACAATGCAGAGGATTAACCCCTTAGGTTCCACAGTGAGTATAACAAGCATGCTTTACTGCATATACAGACTGATTTTACTGTTGTGGGTTTAGTAACATTTCAAGGTACGGTCATAAATTGTACGTTATTGGTCACATCTCTGTTCCCACCATATCATCTCATAAATCTGATGGACTGAAATACGATCACATTTATGAACTAAGTATTGACGATACAAAACGATTGATAATGTCTACCCTGACCAATCTGATTGAAAGTGAATCCAAACTGACCGGAAGGGAAGGCTATCCGATCCATTATAAATTCCATCGTTTTAAGCAAATGATACATTAGTCAAATAAAACGTGAGGTGTGTGTGCCCACCATGAAGGAGATCGTACAATCAGATTGTACAGTGTATGGTCAGCTCCTGTGTGTATAATAGTCTGCGATGACAGCAGCGTGCCCCTCTGTACAGACATGTTATCGGTCAATATAAGGAGACCGATCACAGATCTGATGGCCACATACAGCGCCCCCCCGGATCGGCCCTTACCTCTGTCCCTGGTCCGGCGGTCAGTGATCGGTCAGTGGTCTCTCTCCCCCATACACGGACAGGACACGTCCGCACCGATCTCCGCACCAACTGTTGCTCACTGAGCTCTGAACGCTGCAGAGCCGAGGGAAGGGGCGGGGACTGCGGGGGAGAGGGCGGGAACCGGCTGTCAATCTCCGTTTAGGTGGGCGGGGCTAGCAGTCAGCGTGCAGCTTGTTGTGTGGCTGGAGGTGTGACGGTGCGATCTCCATACACATTACTCAGCACAGTGCGGGGGGCGGGATGTGTCCGCTCTGCTCATAGGACGACGAGACCATGGACGGGATCGGTGTGATCACCCGTACCTGCCTCTCCCTGCTTAGGGCTCATACATTGTATCTATGGTGGCCATACACATACAACCAATCACATACGTCCCTTCCCTTCAGGCCCGATCTAGCCTATCTGATCGGGGGGTGCTGGAAAAAAACGTCGGGGAATAATGTCAGGGCTGTGTGAGTTATCGAGCCTTTCACACAGTGTCACAGCCTGGGGAGCGCCGGTATGCATAAGGATGGTTAAGATTTGAGTTATTAAAAAGAACCTGTCCCCCCCCCCCCATATCAGATAGCCATGTCCTCCTTTATATCAGGAGCCCTTCTTTTATATTATCAGAGGTTTCCATCAGAGTACCACATCAAAGCCCCCCCCTTCCAGGTCCTCATCAGAGTCCTTTACATCAGGTTCCCATCAGAGTCCATCATCAAAGCCCTCCTTACTTCCAGGTCCTCATCAGAGCCAATCTTTACATCAGGATCCTATCAGAGTGCCCCCTTACATCAGATGTCCCCATCAGAGTGCCCCCCTTACATCAGATGTCCCCATCAGAGTGCCCCCTTACATCAGATGTCCCCATCAGAGTGCCCCTTACATCAGAGTACCCCATCAAAGCCCCCCCCTTCCAGGTCCTCATCAGAGCCATTCTTTACATCAGGTTCCCATTAGAGTGCCCCTTTACATCAGGTGTCCCCATCAGAGTCCATCATCAAAGCCCTCCTTCCAGCCAGGTCTTCATCAGAGCCCATCTTTACATCAGGATCCCCATCAGAGTGCCCCCTTACATCAGATGTGCCCCCCATCAGAGTGCCCCCTTACATCGGATGTCCCCATCAGAGTGCCCCCTTACATCAGATGTCCCCATCAGAGTGCCCCCTTACATCGGATGTCCCCATCAGAGTGCCCCCTTACATCGGATGTCCCCATCAGAGTGCCCCCTACATCAGATGTCCCCATCAGAGTGCCCCTTTACATCGGATGTGCCCCCCATCAGATGTCCCCATCATCAAAGCCCTTTTTACTTACTTCCAGCCGTGCCCCCTTACATCAGAGGTCTTCATCAGAGCCCATCTTTACATCAGGATCCCATCAGAGTGTCCCCCCCTTACATCAGATGTCCCCATCAGAGTGCCCCCTTACATCAGACGTCCCCATTACATCAGATGTCCCCATCAGAGTGTCCCCCTTACATCAGATGTCCCCATCAGAGTCCATCATCAAAGCCCTCCTTACTTCCAGCCAGGTCTTCATCAGAGCCCATCTTTACATCAGGATCCCATCAGAGTGCCCCCTTACATCAGATGTCCCCATCGGAGTGTCTGTTTTATCAGAAATGTAAACTATTCTCAGAAAACGAGAAAGAAGTTACAAGTGAAACCAGGGGCAGAATGATCATTTGGAAACTTGGGCACTGCCCGAGGGCCCGGGGTCAGTAGGGGGCCCCATGAGATGCCCCTGGTACCTTTATCATAGGCTTTTTTGAGTTTGGGCAAGGACACAGGGGCCTCATGATCCCCTATTGCCCAGGGGCCCCATGAGTTGTCAGTCCGCCCCTGAGCGAAACTAACTGTTCACACATCTAGAAATGGAGGCATTATACAAAATGGGTGACAGTAATAAGGACATATCTCCTTACACTGCCCTACACAGTACATAGTTTAATCACAACACAGTGAACCCTTTGATCGCCCCAGATATTAACCCCTTCCTGTCCAGTGTTATTAGTACAGTGTCAGTGCTTTTTATTAGCACTGATCACTGTATTAGTGTCCCTGGAGATGTCAGTGACAGTCAGTTCTCACGTGGTGTCAGTTAGTGTCAGAATGCCCACTATACCATTGCAGTCCAGCTTTAAGTCGCTGATCGCTATTACTAGTATAAAAACAAAAAAGTAAAAATTCCAGTATATATACCGCCATATAACTTTCACAAAAACCAATTACTATACACTTATTGGGATTTTTTTTTTACTAAAGACATGAAGCAGAATACATTTTGGCCTAAATTTATGAAGACATTTTTTTTTTATCGGATATGTTTTATAGGAAAAAAGTAAAAATATGTTTTCTTTTTAAATTTTCAGCCTTTTTTCATTGATGGCGCAAAAAAAAAAAAAGAAACCCAGTGATGATCAAATACCACCAAAAGAAAGCTCTATTTGTGTGAAAAAATGATATAAATTTAATTTGTGTACAGTGTTTCATGACCGCACAATTGTCAGTTAAAGTAGCGCAGCGCCGTATAGCAAAAAATGGCCTAGTCAGGAAGAGGGGTATATCTCCCGGAGGGCAAGAATAAGGTAAATAACCTACCTTTAGAACATGGAAAAGAGGATTCCTATCGGAAGGGATTCGAGAAGATAATTTATCAAAGCAATAAGTTATGTCTCAATAGGAACGCGATCTATAGCTAACAACCTATTCAATCTACCGTACATGGAAAAGAGGCAACAATAGGTTATCAATATCTGTTTCTACCGTCCAGTCAATCAAAATACAACCAAATTCATGGCCAAATGATCTCAGTTTTGCCAATCAGTGCAAAACAATCAGTAATTTTCCACCACAGCCGATCAACTCAGTTTGATCAAATCCTCTCTACATATAAAGCCATTTATAACTCTATCAGGGGCGGACTGACCATTGGGGAAACTCGGGCACTGCCCGAGGGCCTGGGGTCAGTAGGGGGCACCATGAGATGTCCCTGGTACCTTTCATAGGCTTTTTTGGGCGTGGTTTGAGTGTGGGCAAGGACACAGGGGCCCTGTGGTCCACTATTGCCCGGGGGCCCCATGAGTTGTCAGTCCGCTCCTGAACTCTACCCACAATTACATCACCAATCCTGTCTCCAGATATCACCCAAACCGTCTTTTCCACTCCTCCCACGACCTCCTGATCTCTAGCTCCCTTGTCTCCTCCCATGGTTGTTTCCAGGACTTCTCCAGAGCCTCCCCCATCCTCTGGAACTCTCTACCCCAATCTATCGGACTATTGCCCACTCTGCTCACTTTTAGGTGATCCCTGAAAATCCCTTCAGGAAAGCCTATCCTGCCTGCAGCTAATATCCAAATCTTCTATTTCTCCTATCAGTTCACCCCCCACAGTTATTACCTTTTGTACCACTAGCCCCTCCCTCTTAGATTGTAAGCTCCAAGGATCAGGGTCCTTCTATCCCTCTTGTATTGAACTGTATTGTTGCTGTATTGTCTCCCGTTATATTGTAAAGCGCTGAGCAAACTGTTGGCGCCTGGGGTGGACTGACAACTCATGGGGCCCCCTGGGCAATAGGGGATCATGGGGCCCCTGTGTCCTTGCCCAAACTCAAAAAAGCCTATGAAAAAGGTACCAGGGGAATCTCATGGGGCCCCCTACTGACCCCGGGCCCTCGGGCAGTGCCCGAGTTTCCAAATTGTCAGTCCGCCCCTAGTTGGCACTATATAAGTCCTGTATAATAATAATAACATAGTGGCCATATACGCTTCAATAAATGATCTATTTCTTTTCCAATGAATCTTTAAACCCTTGGTTCACACCTAAGCGTTTTCCGCAGCGTTTTGCAGAAACATGCTACAGTCCATTTAACATGATTTCCTATGGGACACGTTCACATCTCTGCGTTTTCACCTGGTCTGTTTTTTGGAAAGGGTCGGAGAGAATTTATAGACTTCAATGGAAATGCTGCAGAAAAGCATGTAGTGTGTCTTTACTGCATTTTTGATGCATTTTTTATGCATTTTGTATTTTAATCTGCCTAGCAACAAGAAAAAAAGTTAAAATGTAAAAAAAAGGCAAAACGCATGTGCAAAAACGCAAAACGCACTGCAAAAAGCACTGCAGAAACAGATCAAACGCAAACTTCATAGGTGTGAACCTAGCCTAATAAAATGAATCAATCTGTAGTCAACCCATTCCATCAATATACACACATGGGGGAGTTTACTTTGATCCATAGGTACCATAGGATCATAAGCTACAATCTGATCGATTAAAATGCAATCTTATTTTTGAACAAAATATACAAAACAATTGATCATTTTCCACTCTGGCCGATCAACTAAGTTTGATCAAAACTGATCTAAATCCATAGGAAGGGAAGTCATGGCTAATTGAATGTTTGTGGATTCGATCATTTTGATTTATAACGGTGGCCAAAAAAATGCTTCCCTTTATTATCCAGTCAATGTGCATTTCAATCAAAGTGATAGTGATCGAATCAGCAAACAATCGAATAGCCATAACTTCCTTTCCAATCAATTTAGACTAGATTTAGATAATAGTCACTCAGCCAGGGTGGAAAATCATCAATTTGTTTTGCATCGATCAGCAGCACTGAGATGATTCGGTCATATATTCAATCATGTTTGATCGTTCAGATTATGAGTTTGCATGGGGAACAGAGAGGCAAGCAATAATGTATGATCATCTGTTCCAACTAACAATCAAAATCCACTTTCGCATGTGTGGCATATTAATCGAAGAAGTTGTTGAATATAGATCTATTATTCCTATCAGGAGCGAACGTTCAGAAAAGGAACCGATCATTTATCAAAGCATGTATTGGCACCATAAAGTGGAAATAAAAGGGTTGACAGGCAGGCTATTTTATTAAAGAAGAGACATACCATGCATATATAGGGCCCCATTCACACTGGATGTTAGAGTCGCTCATATGTGCGTTTTGGAATATTTCTGTGCGTTGTGCATAGGGCAGCCCTTTTGTTTCATGCAACAAATGCAACAAAATAACCCATGAACCTTCCTGAGCTTCCAGCTGTGCACATTTTTTAACAGCATGTTTTGCTGCAAAAAAGAAAAAAAATGCATCTGCTTCCTACTTTTAGCATTGTAGGGTTGGTTTACACCACAAAAATCCATTCCAGATCAGTTCTGGATGCGTTTGTGCATGTGCGTTGTTAACTTGTTTTCGATGCATTCTGGTGCATTTTTGGTTCTTCTCTGAATGCGTTCCAGATTGATTTTTTTCTTCTTTTTTTCTGTTTTTCACTGTACAGTGATCTGGTGCGTTTTTAATGCATTTCATAGCATTCCGGTGCATTTTCTGATGCGTTTTACCGCATTCCAGTACAGTTCTGTACAGGAAAAATGCAGCATATTCTACTTTTTTTCTGCACCCAGAACACACTGGAACTGTAAGCACTGTTGTGAACTATGACACTGAAAATAATCATTTTGGATACAGAACAAAAAGCACTGGAACACATATGGTGTGAAGTAGTCCTTACCAGGGGCGGACTGACCATTTGGAAACTCGGGCACTGCCCGAGGGCCCGGGGTCAGTAGGGGGCCCCATGAGATGCCCCTGGTACCTTTTTTATAGGCTTTTTTGAGTTTGGGCAAGGACACAGGGGCCCCATGATCTCCTATTGCCCGGGGGCCCCATGAGTTGTCAGTCCGCCCCTGGTCCCTACAATTAATATACCGCAAACACAATGTGTTTTTTTTCCTTTTTGCATGCTTTCCTAAAATGGAACAAAATCACAAGGTTTAGGAAAACCGCAAAAAACCTTCGTCACCCTTGCAGTTCATTCACATTCATGCTATAGTGCAGCCTAGGTGTCCAGCATGCTGTACAGAATGGCTGACACTGCTGTGTATGGAAGCAGTGATCTCTCTGCAGCTGTTTGACAAACCCCTCTCTGCTAACTCAGGGCTATGGCTTGGATTGGATTAGAGTGGTCAAGCTTGGGGGGGGGGGGGGGGGCATGTCAGACCTCTGCAGAGAGAACACTGCTTCCAGACAGAAAGGAAAGGTCCCACTCTGTAGCATGCTGACAGAGGACAGGCTTTTCTACTCAACTGTAAAGGTTATCATACACTATAGAACAGTGGTTCTTATCCTGGGTTCGATCGAACCCCAGGGGTTCGGTGAGTCAGTCTCGCGGGTTCGGCGGAGGTGAAGACCCACACCCGACTCATGATTCGTGCAGTAAATATTCATTATTA